TAGCTGGATTCTGTCCCTCCCTTACAGTGTGCCCACTTCTCCCCACATCTTTGTGTCATCAGCGAATTTGGACAGCATGCTTTCTCTGCCCACCTCCAAGTTGCTGATAAAGATGTTGAATAGCACAGGCCTGAGGACTGAGCTCTGGGGAACTCCACTGCCCACATGTCTCCAGGTTGAAAATGACTCCTCCAGCACCACTCTCTGGGTGCAACCATTGAGAGAATTTGCCACCCATCTGACTGTGTAGGTATCAATGCCACAGTTGCCTATATTTTTATGAGCAGCGGGTGAGAAACAGTGTCAAAGGCCTTCTTGAAGTCCAGTAGACGACAGCCACCTCAATGCCTACATCCAAGGACTTTGTGACCTTGTCATAAAAGGAAACAAGGTTAGTCAGGCAGGATCTTCCCACAATTACCCGGTTTTGGTTGCCCCTGAGTATTACCTCCCATGCTGGGCCCCTGCAGATGTGCTCCTTGATAATTTTCTCAAAGGTCTTCCCAAGGACCAAGGTGAGAATAACTGGCCTATAGTTACCCAGGTCCTCCTTTCTCTCCTTCTTGTAAATGGGGACCACACTGGCCCTTTTCCAGTCCTCTGGGACTTGGCCAAAGCACCACGAGCGCTCATACAGCTGTGCCAGAGGCCCTGCTATGACTGCCACCAATTCCCTCAGTATCGTTGGATGAAAAGCATCCGGACCTGCTGATTTAAACACATCCAGCCCCTCCAAAAGTTTTTGAACTAGATCATCTCTGACCCTAGGCATGGCGTTGTGTCCCCTGAGCCTGTCTGTAATCCTAGTGGGGGAGCTGTCCCAGTCCCTGCTCAGAAATATGGAGGCAAAGAACTTGTTGAGGAGATCGGCTTTTTCCTTTGCTGCAATCACCAGACTGCCAAGCCTGTCCTGTAGGGGCCCCATGTTACCTGGTGCCTTCTTCTTACTCATGTATTTGAAAAAGGATGTTTTGTTGTCCTTAATTCTGGTCACCAGCCCTAGTTCCGTCTCTCTCTTGGCATTCCTAATTGCCTCCCTGCAATCAAGAACAACAGAGGTGTAAATCCTCCTGGGTGATAGCCCCTTGCTTCCACTGATTCTTTGCCACCTTTTTTGCCCTCAGGCCCTCCTGGATGCCTTTACTGAGCCAAGTGGGCTTTTTAGCACTCTTGCCCCCTATGGTTCACATTCGGACTGACTCCCTCTGAGCTAGGAGGATTGTCACCTTAAGGAACAACCACCTGTCCTGGACTCCCATCTCACTGAGGCTCTGAGTCCCCAATGTCTCTTACTAATCTCCTTATCTCATTGAAGTCAGCCCTCCTCAAGTCAAGGGCTTTTGCCTTACTGCTTGCTTTCACCACCCTGTGCCGGATAGTAAATTCCAGCAGACAATGGTCACTAACGCCTACGTAGTCAAGCACCCGCAGATCCTTCACCAGCGTCGTCTGTGGCAAGGACCAAGTCCAGCAGGCCATTTCCTCTGGTGGGATTGTGTACCTCCTGGGTTAGGTGGAGGTCCTGTATGCAAGCTAAAAACCTACGTGAATATTCAGACCTGGCTGACTGATCTTCCCAGCAGATGTCTGGGTAGTTTAGGTCACCTATGACAACTGCATCCCTTGTCCTTACAGCCTCCATGAGCTGACCTGAAAATTCCAGGTCCAGCTCATCCCCCTGGTGAGGCGGTTTCTAGTAGATGCCCACTATCAAGTCCCTTTCCCCACGACCCCCTTGCATTCTTACCCAGAGCGCTTCAGTTTGCCCCTCTTCTGAACCCATCCTGATCATCAAGGATGTGTACTGCTCTTTAACATAAAGCCTCCCCCCCTTTTCCCTACTCTATCCCATCTATACAACCTATAGCCCTTGATGTCTACTGCCCAGTCATGGGTAGAATCCCACCAGGTTTCTGTAAGCCCAACCAGGTCTGGGTTTTTGCTAGCTAGCAGGAGGGCAAGTTCCTTCTGCTTATTCCCCATACTTCTAGCGTTTGTGTAGAGGCAATTGAGACCTTGTATGGGTGTTTGTGCTGCCCTCTTGTTCCCAAGCTTACCTAGGTCCTTGTTATTTACCTGGGTTGTTCCTGCTCGCGTCACCTGGCTTGAAGTGTCCTCCTACACCTCTGCATCCCCATCCCCCGATGAACCTAGTTCAAAGCTCACCATACGAGATCAGCCAACCTAGAAAGCACAATGATCCCCCTCCACTCCAACAAAAATTTCTTCCATAGAATCATAGAAGTAGGGTCTGAAGGGACCTTGTAGATCTTCAAGTCTGACCCCCCACCTGGGCAGGAGAAAAAACTGGGCTCAAATGAGTCCAGCCAGGTAGTCTTCAAGGGTAGGAGCCAGCACCACTTCCCTAGGAAGTTGGTTCCAGCTCCTAGCCGCCCTAACTGTGAAGTAGTTCTTGCGCATGTCTAATCTAAACCTACTCTCTAATAATTTGTGTCCATTGTTCCTTGTCATGCCAGGGGGCGCTAGGGGAAACAGT